ATCTTGAATTTCATGACTTCTAAAGGCTTATTAACAGCTTTCCCTGATCTGATCGCACTGGCATTGATTCTAATCGAGGTCAAAATGGAAAGGCAGCAGAAACTAACACACCATTGTAAAGCAATTATACTCCAATAAAGATGTTAAAAAAAAAACAACCCACAATGAGGGGGTACTTCCCTGGTGGTCCAGTGGTTAAGGCTCCACACTCCCAATACAGGGGGCCTGGGTTTGATCCCTGGTCCGGGAGCTAGATCCTGCATGCATGCCACAGCTAAGAGTGTGCATGCTGCACCTAAAGATCTCTCGCAACAAAGGATCCCGCATGCCACAACAAAGATCCTGAGTCCCGAAGCTAAACCTGGTGCAGCCAAAGCAAACAAAAAAAAAAAGGAAAGGCAAAGAAGATAACTTGGTTTACCCAGAGAGGCAATCTGCAATAAAGACAATAGAGACACTATAGGTTAAAGTGACCCTATCTCTGCAAAGGTCTAACTTTACCCTACACAAGTAGCAACATCTACAAATATTGGACATTGAAAAGAAATGCACTGATATTAGCTAAAATGGTTATTTGAGGCTTTGTTATGCTGATTTTACCAAAACAAATGTTTATAACCTAGTTAATATCATAGAATATTTACATTTGGCCCTCTAGTATCCATAGGTCCCGCATCTGCAGGTTCAACCAGCCAAGGATCAAAAATATTTGAAAATTCCAGGAAGTTGCCAAAGCAAATCTTGAATTTGCTATGCACCGGCAACTATTTATATAGCATTTACATTGTACTTACAACTGTTTATGTAGCATTTTAAAAAAATTTATTTATTTATTTTTGGCTGCGTTGGGTCTTCGTTGCTGTGCGCGGGCTTTCTCCAGTTGCGGCGAGCAGGGGCTACTCTTCCTTGCGGCACATGGGCTTCTCATTGCAGTGGCTTCTCTTTGTTGCGGAGCATGGGCATACAGGCTTCAGTAGTTGTGGCACATGGGCTGAGTAGTTGTGGCTTGCGAGCTCTAGAGCACAGGCTCAGTAGTTGTGGTGCATGCAGCATGTGAGATCTTCCCGGACCAGGGCTCGAACCCATATCCCCTACATTGACAGGGAGATTCTTAACCACTATGCCATCAGGGAAGTCCCTGTAGCATTTATATTATATTAAGTATTATAAGTAATCTAGAGATGATTTGAAGTGAACTGGAGGGCATCGGTAGGTTATATGCAAATACTACACTGTTTTATATAGTATTAGTATTTATGCATCTGTGGGTTTTGGTGTCTGCAGGGGTCCTGGAACCAGTCCGCCATGGATACTGAGGGACAACTATATTTTGCATTCTCATTCCTTAATTCCCCAGTAACATTTGTATATGGTTTTCATGGTATTTTAAACAGGACGAAACATTACCAAGGTGCTCATTGCAAACAGAGGAGAAATTGCCTGCAGGGTGATACGAACAGCCAAAAAAATGGGTGTACAGTCTGTGGCTGTTTACAGTGAGGCCGACAGGAATTCCATGCATGTTGACATGGTACGTTGTTAAAAACTGGAAGTCAAATTTTGTAAGTGATTGTATTTGTTTATTGTGTCAGTATTTTACTTCTTTGTTGACGGTTTATATTTGCTAGTATTAACAGTGTCTAAGTAGGTAAGTTCAAACTGCTCACTAAAAATTTATCTTGGGAACCTTTTCCAAACGTAACACCAGTGGAACTACACTGTGTGCCTAGTGACTTCTAGGCAAGATCCTGTCTCATCAAGGATTGGTTAAAACGGCTCAGAGAAGGTGGCTGACCCACAGATCACACTGTCAGTGGCGCACATCCAGATCCCTGATGTACCAGGAGAAGGATCGAGGTCAGTCTTAGCAACTACCAGTTACTGGCCAAGGGATCTTAGACAAGTCATTTAATGTTTCTGAGCCTTGACTTAACCAGCTTCACCTGGGCTTTCCACACTGCCACTTTTCCCTTGAATTCTGTGCAGGGACTATCTCAAACCAGTTTTGCTCCATTCCAACCTCTGACTCTCCCTCTACCACCTATTCTCAGCAGATGATCTTGAGTCACAGAGGACATAGAATTGAGCTTCCTGCCACAGAATCTGCTCGCTGCATCTGCATCTGTCCTCTTCCCATCCAAGGCTAGTTGTCTTCCTGTGCTGTGGAGTCCTTCTCCTCTCCCCTGTTAAGAATCTTCCATTTTCTTCTTTTCTCACTGTATACTGTCACTCTAGATCATATCATCAAGTCCTGTGGCTTTGCTAAAAACTTCCAAATGTCTATTTCTAGCCCAGACTTTCTTTTGAACATGATACATGTCTATCCAGCCTCCCACTCAACACCTCCACCTGCATGGGCACCAAATCAATATGTCTGAAATTGAACTCCTCACCTTTCATCTGTACTGAGCATGCTTTTCTTGCAGACTTCCCTAACCCAGTAGGTGGCAACACCATCGCTCATAAAAATAATAATGCCAGAGATCTGGAAGTCTTTGAATATCTCCCATCTTCCTCCCGTCTCTACATCCTTCCCCCTTCCCCATCTAGACAGTCTCCAATTGCTGTTAATTCTGCTTCTCAAACATTTCTTTCCACTTCTTTCTGCCGTCTTCCACCTGCACCTTAAGTCAAAGCCGCTGTCATCTTCGCCTGGTCAAATGCTGTATGTAGCCTTGTATGTGGTCTCCCTACTTTACCCTTGACCCCCTCCCACAATATTTTCTACACTTCAGCCAGACTGATAGCTTAAAAATCAGATTTTTTCATGTTACTCCTATGCTTTAAATGCTTTAAACCTTTTTATCATCCTCCAGATTATCAATAATTTAAAAGATGGATAATATTCAGTGTTGGTTAATGTGGTTAGAAATTAGGTTATTGATGGAAATGTATATTAGTGACACCATTTCAAGGGATGATTAACCAGGAGCGATTAAAATGTCATATCTTTCACCCAGCCCTGCAAACACTCCTCTAGATCTCTGTCCAGAGACATACTCACACATATGTGCACCTAGAGGCATGCACAAGATGCTGCTGGCATCCTTTTGCCATTACAGCTTAAATGTCCATTTAGAGGTGCCTGATTAAATGAACTATGGTACCTTCATACTGTGGAACATTATGCAATTGTTATAAAAAAATGAGGTAGACGTGTGTACTAGTAAGGAAAGAGCTCTCAAGACATACTGTTAGTGAAAAAAGCAATTGCAGAAGATGACTCTAGAGTTTGATGCTATTGGTGTAAAAACAAAAACTAAAACTGTTGTATGTTTATATAAATATATTCAAATAAATAGGAATGTGGATATGGAAAGGTATGTCCCAAATTGATCATAGAGATTATATCTGGAAGGAGTTTAGAGTGAGGGAGAGGGGCAATGCCAAAGGACTCCTTTGCTTCTGTATTATTGTTCACAGTCTTTAGAATGAGAATGGATTTGTGTATTGTGGAATAAAAGTTTAAATTAAAAACACATACTTTAAAAAGTCTCATCATGTGTCCCCTTGGGAGACAATCCAAAGCTTTAACCTCCCACAAGGCCCTCTGAAATCTGCATCCCGGTATTCCAGTCACATGTCTGGTCCCTGACCCCTTATTCATTGCTCCAGCCACACAAGCCTCCTTCAGTCCCTCAAATGAGCCAGATTTCTTCCCACCCCAGGACCTTTGTATGTGTTGTTTTCTCTGCCAGTGAGGCTTGCCCCCATCTCCATTCCTGTTCCGAACTCCACCCCCTCCTCCTGTTTGCCTGCCCAGGTCCCAGGTCAAGGAGCCCCTTGACCTTCCCTCCCAGCCTTTCCCTGACCAGACTAAACCTGATCCTCTTCCTCTTACCTGCATTGTGTCCTCTGTTTTTCCTTCTTGGCCTTTATCACAGCTGTCATTAAGTGTGTGAATGTATGTTTGATGTTTGTCTCTTCCTCTAGACAGAGACACTTGTCCTATTTACTGATGTATAGGCAGCTTCACCTCAAAGCATGGCACATAGTGGGCATTCAGTAAGTCTTTGAATGAATGAATGATATTGTGTATCTGGTCTGCCTCAAGGGGTGCTATGATTATATGAAAGTTTTAAGGGACAATATAAAAATAGTTCATAAATGTATAGAAGGGGTATTATCATACTCTAATAAGTATATAAACTTAAGGAAACTTTTATTTCTTACTGTATACATCTGTTGTATATTTTGTCTCTTTTGTCAAATTGTACATTTTTGGCATTAACTACATTTAAGGTTACTATTGTTGCTAATATTAATACTGTGACTAGTGCCTCTTGCCTTCTAACCCAAGGCACTTTAATTTCACTCTGTGTGTTTTATACATAAAAGTCAAGTTTTGGTACCCTCCTCCTGCGAAAGATTCCAAACTGGCTTATTTTTATAACAGACATGAGCTGCTGCTTGTGTTTCTCAATTCTTGCATTGTTCTTAGGAGCCAGCATTTTTATTTATAATAATAAGATGACCCAGCAGCAGTTCTGTATAGTGTACTAGTGTGTACCAGCTGTGTGGTCTTTTAAGCATGTAATATTCCTTCAACAGGCAGATGAAGCACATTCCATCGGCCCCGCTCCTTCACAGCAGAGCTACCTTTCTATGGAGAAAATCATTCAAGTGGCCAAGATCTCCGCTGCACAGGTAAAAGAGTCATGAAGAAATTTGCATTGCAGGGACTTCCCTGGCGGTCCATTGGTTAGAATTCTGCACTTCTAATGTGGGGGCCGCAGGTTCCATCCCTGGTTGGGGAGCTAGGATCCCACATGCCACGTAGTATGGCCCCAAAAAAGAAGAAATTTGCATAGCAAAAGGAATAAGGTTTTTTTTGTTTTTTTGTTTTTTTGTTTTTGTGGTATGCGGGCCTCTCACTTTTGGGGCCCCTCCCGCCGCGGAACACAGGCTCCCGACGCGCAGGCTCAGTGGCCACGGCTCACGGGCCCAGCCGCTCCGCAGCATGTGGGATCCTCCCGGACCGGGGCACGGACCCGCATCCCCTGCATCGGCAGGCGGCCTCTCAACAACTGCGCCACCAGGGAAGCCCCAAGGAATAAGTTTTGTACAGGTTACACAAAATTGCTTATTATTTACAGAACTCGTTCTCTATGTTTAGCTGTTTCCAAGATTTTTACATTTGATTATGGGATTGTTATTGTAAAGTAGGCGTGTCGCTTCTCACTCCTCAGCCACGCTACCGTCTTACTGAGTCCTGTGCACTTTAGATCTTTGGGGAAACAGGTGGAGGGAGGGTTTAATTACAAATTTAAATTAAGAGGGAATTCAGCTCTTCTACCTTCAAAGCCAGATCCTAGGAACATCGGATTCTTTGGGAGAAATAGGTGGTGCTCTAAATTACAAGGAAAAATAGAATCAAGAAAGAAATCCTTTTCCCTCTTGACTTCCCAGTCTCATTCTAAGGCCCCGCTCCCTGTTTTCCAATATCCCGGACTCAAAAGTTTGCTGTTACTGTATCTGTCATCCTTCAAAATAAAATAGGAACCAACTTGTGTTGAATCTTTCTTTGAAATGTCTCCAGAAGTTGTTCTTTTTAATCACACAGCCAGACCTTATGATCTCTTATCTGGATTTCTGATTCTCAGCTGGTTTCCCTACTTCTAAATCCCTTGCCCATCCAATGAGTTGTGCTAGATAGATAACTGCTAGCAGTTGTTTTTACTGCAAGACAGATGTAAGACAGATGTTTCTTAAACACTTGTTTCATTATTACCACCTGCTCTTTTTTTTTTTTTCCTCAATAACTTCACCCCTTTCTCATCCTATTCCCTAGTGAGTAAATCTTTTGTGGTTACAAGATAAAGTTCAAACTCTTCAGCCTAGCATTTAAGAGTTTCCAGTATTTGTCAAAACTTATTTCTCATCGTCACTTGTTTCTAATGGTTGCAATGAAATTTTCTCTGTCTTTACACATCATGCTTATTTCTCTAGGCATCTGCTTATATTGTTCCGTGTGCTGGAAATGCTCTTTTCCTCCTTCTCATATCATTCATGCATATATTCACTCAGCAAACGTTACTTGGTCTCCTCCTTTGTGCCAGCTTCTAAGCATGTATGCAGGGACTTCCAGTGGTAAAGGATCCGCCTTCAAATGCAGGGGACACAGGTTCGATCCCTGGTTGTGGAACTAAGATACCACATGCCATGGGGCAACTAAGCCCACGTGCTCTAGAGCCCATGTGCTGCAACTATTGAGTCCATGCACTCTGGAGCTTGCACACCACAACTAGAGAGAAGCCTGAGCACTGCAACGAAAGATCCCACATGCCACAACGAAGATCCTGCGTGCCATAACTAAGACCTGATGCAGCCAAATAAATAAATATTTTTTTAAAAAGCATGTATAAAAAAAAAAAAGAAAGCATGTATGCAGCAATGACTAACACGGTTTATACCCTATGTCTGAAGCTACACTCTTGTAGTTGAGGCAGAAAATAAATATTGTGTTGGCCCAAAAGTTTGTTTGTAAGATGTTACGGAAAAACCTGAACGAACTTTTGGGCCAACCCAATATTTAAATGGGTAAAGAACTAATATAACTCGGAATGTTATAAGTGGTGGGAAGAAAATAAAGCCAGATAAGGGGGTAAAGACTGGTTAGGAAATGCTTTTAAATAGGGTGATCAGTGGAGGCCTTTTTGAAGAGGTGACACTTGAACAGGGACCTGCCTGATGAGAAGGAGCCAGCCATATGAAGCACTTGACGAGGAAGGTTCAGTCACATGGGAGGACGCTGAGATGAGTATAAACTTGTGTTCAAGGGACAAAAATATTCAGTGTGGATGGAGTGAAGGCAATGAGGGGCTGTGTCATTCAGGATCCAGTTAGTAAAACTGAAATTCCATTAGATATTTCAATAGAGGGAGATTAATTTAGGGATTAGTTCTACCAGTGTTAGAGGACTAGAAGAGAAAAAAGTATTTTGAAATTACCTAATGATAAAACTACAGATACTGATAACGACCCCTTGGGCTGAGGAAGAGGTTGGAGGAAGGACCTTCTGCAGCTCTTGCTCAGTTCTCTATGGAGGGGCCCTACCTGGCTGCAGGGAGCATAATGAGGCTGGTTCTGGAAGTTCCAAGAGAGACTAAACTCCAAGAGAGGAACTGCTGCTGCCCAGGGTGGAAGAACAGGAAGCTTCCCTGGCTTCCAGTTTCCCTACAGTGACCCCTGCTGGTGGAACCTGATAGGAAACCAAGTGGCAAGAACAGTAATTTGCAGGGCCCTGTCGCCAAACTAACTCAGTATGGAAGGTTGGATTTGGAGCTGGAAAACCAACTGACACAGGAGGAAGGTGGTAGATGATGAAGTTGAGAGTGGTAGAGGCAGCATCATTTAGAGCATTATAGTCCTTAGTAAGGAGTTTGCATTTCATTCTAAGTAGCTATTGGAGGATTTTAAGCAGGGGAGGGAGGTGATCTGATTTATATTTTAATAAGATCATGTGGCTGCCCGTGGGGAATAGGCTAGTGGGATGGGGCAAAGGTGGGGTGGTAACAAACACAGCAGGCAGAATAATTAGGAGTCAATTGCAGCAGTCTTGCCCTTCACCGGCACTGGAATTCCTGCCTCTTACAATTACTTTCTTGACTCCAGTCACACTGATGTCTCCCTTTTCCTTTAGCATTTGCTTTCCTGTTCCAGTCATCTTTATACTTAATTAGCCATTTTCTTCTTTTTAATACATATCATGACTCCTCAACTCAATTGTGCTCTGTTTAAGAGAAGAACCCACAACTGAGACTTATTTTCTCTACCTCCTAACATTCCCATGACCTGGCACAGAGGGTCATTAATTTGAATTAATGAATATATGCAGTTGTTTTGTATTTATGTGTTTCTGCGTCTTTGTTCTCTTCTTTAGAATCAGAGTTTCTAGACTGAACAATGTAGGCACTAATTTATACACACAGGTGTTTAAAATATGCTTGTTTCTAAAGCTTTTTAGTTATCATTTGGAGTAAAAGGCCCTTAGGAATCCAGGGACTTTAACATAATTGTCACTTTGTACTTATCGCACGTTTGAGCTTACATTAGACAGTATTATTACCGCCATTTTACAAATATAAAATGCACAGGATACGTGATACTCAAAATCGTCTAGTCTCACTACTCAAAGTGTGGTCCATGGCATCATTTGGTAGAAATGCAGCTTCTTAGGCCACACTCCAAGCCCACTGTAATTTACATTTTTATGCATAATTTGCATTTTTTCAAGGTCCTCAGGTGCTTTGAAAGCAAAACTCATCTCATCATTGAAAGAGAAAGAATTAAACAAAAGTATCCTGACTCTCAGCCCTATTACCTATGTCTTTAAGTAACGACTCTAGCAAATTTATGATATGTTAATTCTGGAGAATTTGTGAACTCTGTCTATCTAGATTAGTATTATGTTAGATGTTATGTTAATAACACAAACAATGAGAAAAGAGTAAATAATTTTCACACATTTTGCCTGGATATTCAAGATTTGAGGTGACTTGCAACATTACAGATAGTGGTTAAGACTAAGATAAAAACAAAAAATAAGTAATATGGGACTATTATTGGGGCATAGTGGTTGGAATTAAGTCAGAAAACTTAGGCCAAGGAAAGCTTCTTTAGTTCTTCCTGGCAGCCCTGATCAAAAAGGAAATTTGGTGGGTTACAATTTACAGGGCTCTTTAATAAGAGGATATTTATCAATTAAGGGAGCAAACCTTGCCCTCACTTTGACTTGGAAGAAGAATCATATTGATCCTTCTAAAGCAGCGGTCCCCAGCCTTTTTTGACACCAGGGACTGGTTTCGTGGAAGACGATTTTTCCACAGACCGGGTGCAGGGTAGGGGGATGGTTTGGGGATGATTCAAGCACATTACATTTATTGTGTACTTTATTTCTATTATTATTACATTGTAATATATAATAAAATAATTATACAACTCACTATAATGCAAAATCAGTGGGAGTCCTGAGCTTGTTTTCACTTGCCACTCACCAATAGGGGTTTTTTGGGGGTTTTAAAATTTTATTTATTTAGTTTTGGCTGCGTTGGGTCTTCGTTGCTGTGTGGGCTTTCTCTAGTTGCGGTGAACGGGGGCTACTCTTTCATTGCGGTGGCTTCTCTTGTTGTGGAGCACGGGCTCTAGGTGCAAGGGCTTCAGTAGTTGTGGCTCATGGGTTCTAGAGCTCAGGCTCAGTAGTTGTGGCGCATGGGCTTAGTTAATCCGCGGCACGTGGGATCTTCCCGGACCAGGGCTCGAACCTGCGTCCCCTGCATTGGCAGGTGGATTCTTAACCACTGTGCCACAAGGGAAGCCCACTGATAAGGTTTTAATATGAGTCTGCAAGCAATTGATTTATTATGGTCTCTGTACAGTCAAACCTCTCTGCTGATGATAATCTGTATTTGCAGCCACTCCCCAGCTAGAGCCCTCGCATGCGCAGTTCACAGTAGGGTTCGCACTCCCATGAGACTCTAATGCCGGCGCTGATCTGACAGGAGGTGGAGCTTAGGCAGTAACAGGAGCAATGGGGAGTGGCTGTAAATACAGATGAAGCTTTGCTCGCTGGCCCCCCGCTCACCTCCTGCTGTGCAGCCTGGTTCCTAACAGGCCATGGACTGGTACCAGTCTGTGACCCAGGGGTTGGGGACCCCAGTAATAAAGGACATTGAATGACATGTGCATAATGATTTTGAAAGAATTTTGCCAAAAATGTAGAATTCTTTATTTTTATACAAATGCAATTTTTAAAGGGTATGTTCCATTTACAGTTATTACAAAATATTGGCTATATTCTCCATGTTGTACAATATATTCTTGTAGCTTATTTTATACATAATAGTTTATACCTCTTAATCTCCTACCCCAATTTTGCCCCTTCTGTTTTCCCTCTCCCCACTGGTAACCACTAGTTTGTCCTCTGTATCTGTGAGTCTGCTTGTTTTTTTTTGGGCCGCGCAGCACGGTTTATGGGATCTTAGTTGCCCAATCAGGGATCGAACCCGGGCTCCTGGCAGTGAGAGCACCAAGTCCTAACCACTGGACCACCAGGGAATTCCCTGCTTCTTTTTTGTTATATTTGCTAGTTTCTTGTATTTTTTAGATTTCCTCATATAAGTGATATCATAAAGTATTTGTCTTTCACTGTCTGACTTATTTCACTTAACATAACACTCTCCAAGTCCATCCATGTTGCTGCAGATGGCAAAATTTCATTCTTTTTTTATGGCCGAGTAGTATTCCATTGTATACATATACCACATCTTCTGTATCCAGTCATCTATTGATGGGCACTTACGTTGCTTCCAGATCTTGGCAATTGTAAATAATGCTGCTATGAACATTGGGGTGCATGTATCTTTTCAAATTAGTGTCTTTATTTTTTTCAGGTATATACCTGGGAGTGGAATTGCTGGGTCATATGGTAGTTCAATTTTTAGTTTTTTGAGAAACCTCCATACTGTTTTCCACAGCGGCTACACCAATTTACATTCCCACCAACAGTGTACAAGTGTTCCCTTTTCTCCATATCCTCACCAACATTTGTTATTTCTGTTCTTTTTGATGGTAGCCATTCTGACAGTTGTGAGGTGATATCTCATTGTGGTTTTGATTTGCATTTCCCTGATGATTAGTGATGTTGAGCATCTTTTCATGTGCCTGTTGGCCATCTGCATTTCCTCTTTGGAAAAATGTCTATTCAGTTCTTCTGCCCATTTTTTAATCGGGTTGTTTGTTTTTTTGATGTTGAGTTGTATGAGCTGTTTATATATGTTGGATATTCATCGCTTATCAGTCATATCATTTGCTAACATTTTCTCCCATTCAATAGGTTGTCTTTTAGTTTTGGCAATGGTTTCCTTTGCTGTGCAAAAGCTCTTAAGTTTAATTTGGTTCCATTTGTTTATTTTTGCTTTTATTTCCTTTACTTTAGGAAATGAATCAAAAAAAAATATTGCTGCAATTTATGTCAAAGAGTGTACTGCCTGTGTTTTCCTCTAGGAGTTTTATAGTATCCGGTCTTACATTTAGGTCTTTAATCCGTTTTGAGTTTATTTTTGTATATGGTGTTAGAGAATGTTCTAATTTTATTCTTTTACATGTAGGTGTCCAGTTTTCCCACCACTTATTGAAGAGACTGTCTTTTCTCCATTGTATATTCTTGCCTCTTTGTCGTAGATTGA